AGTGACGGACTTCCATTTCAATGATGGGATTGCGGGGATTGGGAGCGATGTGTAACACTAGATCCCCATGATCGTCTCGGAAAAGTTCTCGAGGGACTCCCGTAGACATGAACTTATTTGCATATGCGAGATAAGATCTCCAAAATGCGCTTCCCCTCCTTACCGACGGGGAGCTCGCTCTCCGTTTTTTGGAAAGGAGGCATACCGATATCCATCGCTTTCGTCTCTTCTACGTGGAGGGTTAGGCGATCCGCCGCGCCGAAATTCCCTTACCGAACTCGATTGGGATCTACTCCTGGTGATGGGGGCCTTCTGCCCTGCATAGAAGTGAATCGTCGTGGCGAGGAGTATCTACCCGGCGAATATCCGCGGTGAAAGGATTGCGCACTTGTACGTGCCCAGCAATCTCTTTGTTCGTGGCCAGTTTTGCCGCAGTAGGAGCAAGTCGGCAATGGAGGATACGGGCAGAATGGCACTTGGTGGTCATGTGCGCCACATCCATAACAGGCGCGATCTTGAGGGGTCGGCCAATTTTTCTCCGAACCGTTTCCGAAACGTCTGAAGGAAATCCTGGAAGGAGCCCGTTAACAGATTCGGTCGAGCTCGGATGTATTCACGCGCCGCTCCGTTTAGGCGGAGGACGGCTAAGTGAAGAATTTGTCGGTCCTCGTATACTCCCAGGACCTTCACGAATTGCAGAGACTGGAGAAAATCTTCTAGGGCTACTGAGCCCGGGGCTTCGCGGCCCTCAAAAATCGGGATGAATAAGGATGCGTTTGACAGAGAAATAATTTGGGGTGATGGGGTTTGGTCGGAGGAGGATTTTGTGTCAAGGGAGTCGAGGGAAGAGTGGTTGTGGGAGGAGAATCTTCAGCAGGTGCGTTTTCCGCCATTGAAGTATCCGGAGATGTCATGCACAGTATGACGCAAAATGCAAACAAAATTCCGAAAGAATTTCGGAGGGGTGGGAATTAGGAATTTAAAGACTAAAGTACCAGACAGGCAAAAGGAAAGAGAAATCGCTTCTTTCGCTAATGAAATTTAGGGATGCAGTGAAGACCCAAAAACCCACGTCGGGAGTCACAAGAATTGGGGCACGAATGCCTCGCTACATGTGGGGATCAGACCCAATGTGGTCGAATGGTAATCAAGAAGGTTGCGTGTTCTTATAGATGGTAAATTAGCGAGGGAGAAGCGAAGTCTCAGATCTCTCTAGACTCCAAGTATGAAGAAAGGTACGGAGTACGTCCTTAGATCAAGTTAACAACTGTGCAGAATTTATNATGAAGAAAGGTACGTCCTTAGATCAAGTTAACAACTGTGCAGAATTTATTAGGATACTCAATAGGGGAGAAAGACCGGAAGGAGAAATACAGGGAGATACAGTCTCACGGTTGTAGCTGGGGCTCGCACGCACTTCGTCCTGATACGTGAACGATCGAATGTGTTGGTTCCTGGTCGTCGGTTTGTGATGAGTCCACAGCAGTTCGCTATACATACCAGCACGCAGTTCGGGGCTCACACTGCGGTTCACTGAGTTGATCGGCTGTGAGGGTCAGGCTGCGCGACTCGACACGCCACGTGTCGTCCGGCCGGAGTTTCAAGACGGACTGCTGCGTGCTGTCTGGCCGGAGGTTCAAGGCGGACTGCTGCGTAAGGCAGAGGTGAGGGCGTGAAGGGGCGAGAGGAGGTCCGCTATTACTACTCGGCGTAGTAACTCGGGGACTCTTCCCCTCTGCTCATCCATGGGCACGAGGAGGACTCCACAATGTACGTGCATGCATGCGTTAAAGATGCAGACTAAATTGTTGCGTTTGGAATTCTATTAATGTGTTGATTGTTGATATTTTATTGCTTAATGCAGGCATATAATAGAAATATCTATATTTCTGAGTCAAATGTGAGATATGCATAGGTATGGTTGTTTAACCAAGATTCGTATTGTTGTAATTTCAGTCATACCTTTCGCTTGGGAATTTGTGGAATCCAAAAGTTCAAAAAAATACACAGGCATGAAAAGTAAAAGTAACAACACGAGCAATATATCAGTGGAAAGCGATTGGAGAGAGCTTTCATTTGACACTAGTTCCGAGTTTATATCTTGTTTAAAACAGGAAGTACAAATCGCCAAAGTTGGTGAAAATAGACAATTTTGGACTTTTCAAATTTAATTTTAAGTTGTTTCAAAAAACGTAGGAAGTTGAAACTTAGTTCTTAAATTGCCGCTTCCTTAGTCTACAATGTTACGAAAGGTCGTGGTGTTACAATGCGTTTTAGTGCTTATCATTTGCGTGCAAAATTCTGCAAAATTTACAATTTTGGAAATTGCATAACTCAATTTTTAATAAATGCAGTAAAAAATGCATTTAATAATACAATTCTACATGGTCTCAGCTTTAATTAGAGTCTGAAAACGCGTTTGTAGCTCGACTAGGACCAAAGATAGCGCTTTAACCCTAAAGGCCCCTTTTCCTCTTGGGGGCGAAGTTTGGGGCCGCATATCTGGAAATCCGGTAGCACCAGAAGGCCAAAATTTTGGATTTTTTTGCATAAGTCTTGATTGCCAGCATGCAATAATTTTTTCAAGCAAATCGGATTCTGAAGCCCAACGAAAGTGACTAAAATTTGACCACTTGAGCTGGAACGCCTTAGCGCGGAATATTTCATCACCCGTTGCACGCTAAGAAAGTCTTTTGCCGGTGAATAGACTTGAGAATAATAAAACAGCGATTTTCTTTCCTTTCCTATGATTCCGAAAATACCGCGGCACACCGGTTGAGAAGCACTGAGCTAGATATCAACCTGCGACATCGACGCCTCAACGCTAATATGGCGGTTCGCTTGTGGGTCACGTGCATAAACCTACCCTGACCATTTTTAGATTGGGTCTAGCTCCGTGGTTCACAGCCATTATATTGCGGACCACCTTTACTTTTTCGTAAATTTGTAAGCTTCTTCAATTAGTGCAATAATAAATTTAAATTTGAAAAGTTTACACCGTCTCAAATTTTAGTTTTTCTTTTATTTGTTTTTGGCCTGGATATAGTTTCGCGTACCCCTGGTTGAGAAATGCTGGCAAAGACCCACCCGATAAACCTAGCTTGCAATCTTTACCCAAACCTTTATGGTGTTCGCGACCCTTACTTAGGGTTAAGACCTCTTTGCCTAAGTCTACGTTTGGCAGGCCTAATGTTAGATGTTAGATATAGGTCTTGGTCAATGATGCCAGAGTTTGGGTTTCTTCTTGCTGCCTTCGCCCAATACTACTCATTTTCTCCTTAACTAGGCCTTATATTATATTTTGCTTCTTTTGATGCAAAGATCTTTCCTCCAGACACCTTAATAGCAGATGGATTTCTATTTAAGCAGGTGGTTAGACAGTCTAGTATGCTCTACATCAGGGGTGCCCAAAGTGGATGTTCTCTAAGGCACTTTGTGTGCTGGATGCGGCCCGAGGGCTGCACTTTGGGCACCCCTGCTCTACAGAGAATGCATGACTTTCCATTATTGACTTGGACCTTCCTTTGATAGTGGTATGCAAGCATGGGCTACATATTTGGTGTCACTGATTTGATACTAAGGGCTAGTAACATCAGCAAACAAGTCCATTTTGCCATCTTAAACATCACAGAATGGATAATTTACATACACTGCTATCAGGTTGAATTCATAACCCCATATAGGAACACATCCATCATATGCAGGTGGTGAAATCTCTCATGTCGGTTCTTATGTATATCCCCTGACAAAGTGATATGCTTGGAAGTTGTGTTTTCTCCATTCTTGACTTCATGGGGAAGGGGAGGGGAGTATGAATTAATTCCAAAAACAGTATAAATGGGGAAAAAAAGAGGCCAGGCAGTCAAAGGCTTGTGGAATCCCATTTGATCTGTTCTTAATCCAAGATTTTGTCAGAAGCAAACAAGTTGCTGGATGTTTTATGAGTGAATCAAGAAAGGGCTAGAGCAACACCACATTGTAACTTTTTCAGAGCTAGGTGAAGAACACCAGACTCTGCTGACAATTACTGTAGATTGTAGCAAAGCATAGCCCAAAGCCTGCAAGTTGGACCAAGTGTTAGCCCAAATTGTATGCCCACTACATGTCACAAGAGCTATTAGGTTTAAACCCAGGCTAAGCCTATATTTGATTTCCCTTCTCATTGTGCCCAGTCCTACCTGTCTGATTTCTTTTTTCAGATGCAGAGTGTTATAAATACAGTGAAGGGAACAGCTTTGGGGGTAGCTGAGTATCTTACCCCTATCCTGAAGGTGGGTCAAGTGAAATGTTAGGCCTAGATAACCTGGACTTAGCTGTGGTCATACTTTGATCTCAGCTTTCCAACAAGCTTGTTAAATCAATTTTGCTCTCAGGCAGTTGAGGATTCACTTGCACCAGATATGTTTTGCATAGGCTCTACCTTGCACAGGCTGCTTTGGCTTCTTCATTACATTATAACAAATTTTTGCTATAATATTTGCCATGCACATTTCATGTTTTGGTCCTTGGAGGGATGTGCTGCCAATTCAATATTTTAAAGGTCACTCAATTTTTATTCTCACACTATGAATTACTACTCTTAGAATCAGAAACAGAGGTTAGAGATATTTGTTATGTTGTTTTTTAAATAGCCAATGGGCATAGTTTTTAAGTTTGGAGTCTTGTAAATAAAAGGGATTTGGTGAGCTTGGAGGAAGTTCAGAGACAGATACTAAAATGATAAGGGAAGTAAGGAGATTTTCTCTGATTGACATTTTGATGCAATAGAATATTAGTCACTAGTATAAGGGGGGATCAGTATAAGTTGTGTAAGCTTCAAGTGAACTCAATTAATGATATAACTTACTTGTCAGATAGTGAATGCATGGAATGAGGTAATTGTTGTTCCTTCCATGGATGGTTTCAGGAAGGAGTTAGATAAAATAAGGAAAAGGAAGCAATTTATCAATAGCTATAACATTGGAAGTGACATAGGTTCCCCCACCTTTTGGCTAAATTTAGAATTGAGGAAAGTAATCAGGAGAAGTGCTTGACCTTGGATCAGAATGTTGGACTGGTGTCAAGGTTGCCAAAGTGCATCTCTTCTTTAATAGTAATTCAGTTATGCGTGTCTATTGATCAACCATCAGTGGATCTTGTATCCATGTAGACCTTCCCTATGCCCACCATTCTTCTGCAGTCCCTTTCTGGCATTGTTGCTTCTTTGTGGAGCTGAACTGATCACATTTGGATCTTTAAGACACCTCCAGTGGGTTGTAGCCATCCTGCAATTTTATTAGTTTTTTTTTTCTCTGTCTACTCCACATGCCCCAGCAGTAACTTGGATTGGAGCAATTTTATTATACCTATTACTAACTAGTCTGGTTATAGGCCAATGGCCTAACTAAATGTTAGGCCATTGGCCTATTTGCATAATAGAAGAGATGCACTTAGGCAATATTGATGCATGCAATATATAGTGTCATGGAATATGTGTAAGACAATGTATGAGTGAGCACTTCAGTAAGATGTGTGCATAAAATGCTTGACATCCTAGTGATGAAAGAGGTGGCAAATGGTGATTAGGATAGGTTCAGCTGGCCTTATTGTGTGCAGTTGAGTCCAATGAAAATGTTTAAAATTTGATTTATCTTCAAAATTTTTGGAAATTTTCAAGTTTTGGCACAGTTCAAGCGAGAGGTCTTAGTTAAACTTAATTTATCTTAAATAAAGACCTCTCACTGTGTCAAGACTGAAGGGATAGCACTTACATGCAAGTACATACAATTGCTGAAAGGAAGTAGAGGGGGATTTGAAAGGATGGTATGGAGAGGGGAGAGAAATGGGGGCAAGAGAGGAGTGCATGTGCTTGGCCTGTGCACTAGTTGCCTGCATCTTTGTGGTGAAGTCAGGGTGTTCCTGCTATTTACAATATTGAACAGAGACATGGAATATTCTGATATGACTGATATTCATGATAATGGTAGATATTGGTATTGCAGTATTTGGGCATCTGATATGCAGATACAAATTGGAACTGTCACATGGAAATGTGGAGACAGAACCTGTTAAAAAAAAAAGGATTGTTGGTTAACACTGAAATAATTCACTTTGTAGTTTTGAATGATTTAGCAGGTACATGCTGTATGGTTCAACTTCTGTTAAAGATATAAATTCAGTATCAAGTCATTGGTGTTGAATATTGGCTAAATTTCAATATTGGTAACTTCCCATGTGAAAATTCCATGTATGACAGGGTGTATGACTCTATATGGTCATGTATGATCATATATTTGCCATATACCAGCATATATATATCATATATCATATATTAACAATTGTATGGTGTATAATATATTTTACCTGCATTGCAATATTATATGTGATGGGCAAATGGCATCATGTCTGATATGTGATGAATATCCATAGACAAGTCTTATGGTTGTAAGTAAAACATGGCATGAGGTCAGTGGTGCATTTTGGCTGAAGAGTCAGGGGGGACAGGGCAGCAGAGTGGGGGCACTAAGCCCTGTCCCAGGGATGCCAGGGGGGCAGCCACACCCCCCTGCCCCCTCCCTGGAAAATATGCCTCTGCATGAGGTAACATGGACACATGAGGGCAATTGACCTTCAGCTGTCTCTGTAACTAATTTTTAATTCACCCATTATATATTACATGAAATATTAGCTATGTATAACCTTAAAAGTAATTTGCCAAAAGTTTGCTTTTGAACCCCCCCCCCCAGCTGAAAATCCTAGTTGGAAACAGCTATAATTTCAAGCTGGACCCCAGTTGGAAATTCAGACCCATTACTTTCCCATACTTTCCAGCTGGGTAGCAGCTGGAAAGTAAAGTCAGATCCAGATCGTTCCTAATGTTCCTAATTGCAATACATTGGTGGAATGAGAATGTTTTTGCTGGCTATTCTTGCTGGAGGTCCATCTATAGAAGCAGCTGAACTTCAACTGTAAATTCAGCTGTATTCCAACTAAAGGGTCCTCTGAATAAAATTCTAACAGTTGTAAAACAACCTGTAATTACCATTTTTCAGCCCTTTGCCAGCTGGAAATGGTCTGAATATACAGCCTCTGTCCACCTGGACAATTCCAGTCAGGGTTTCAAACTGGACCCTACCCTCTCTAGGTGCCATAAGTGACGCAAAAAAGGCAAAAAAGTGCAGGAGGAGGGGGGGGGGGGTACAAGAACTCTGGGACACTGTTATAAATATTTTTTTTTCCCATCTATCTTGTGAGTTGCTAGTCAAGATGCAGAAGACACTTCTACATGAATAAGCCAAGTTTTGTCATGAAATAGCATTACTGATGAAAATACTTTTGGAGTTGGTTAAAGTCTATAATATTGAAACTTTCACCTTAATTAGCAAGGGTGCATATGTTGAACACCATGAAACATGAGTTCTTGGAGTAATTGACTATGGTCTATGAACAATTAAAAATGAGTTGATTGCAAGTAAGGTATGGTGACTTGCATATGAATGACCATAGAGTATCTGATGAATTATGGACCCTTTTTGGATACAGGCATGTTTCAGGTAATCTCACCATACATAGATATGGCATGGCATCTATGGACAGTATATACTGCATTTGTATGAGCCAATATATGAAAATATATGGGGTCATATATTTTCCTTCTTACATGATTTTATGTGACTTGTGTCAAACCCCATACATGTTTCATATATGTTCATATATGAATTGCACTATATGGTCATATATGCCCCATATATGTTGGACTGGTTTAATATATGGCCATTTCATATATGGTCTTACATGAAATTTTCACGTGGGTTGTCCAGTTATAATTTTGTTTTGCAATTTATCCTCATTTTGTGTTTGATGTAGAGCAGTGATTCTCAAACTTCCCATCATTCCCATTTCACTTGATGTGTTCATGGGGTTATGGCCCCCAGCTTGAGAATTGCTGATATAGAGGGTGAAAGTACAATCAAATGTTATTGCCTGTGTACAATAGTGCTGAAAATGAATGCATGTTAATCTATACAACGTTGAGTCAACAAATTCTCTTTTTGACAGATTTTAAATATATTCGCTTTCAGGAGGCTTCTGTGGTTACATCAGAATTGCAACTTCATATGTTTTTCATGTATTTGTCCTACCAGGAATCTAAGTTCCGTGAAAGCGGAATGGTGACACCGGATGAGTTTGTAGTAGCAGGAGATCATCTAGTTCATCACTGTCCCACTTGGCATTGGGCTTCAGGAGATGAATCCAAGAGGAAATCTTACCTTCCTCCTGATAAACAGTTTCTAATTACCAAGAATGTTCCTTGCTATCGTCGCTGCCGGCATGTGAGTTGCTCAGTAGTTAATGTTCCTTTCAATATGGTGCACCAGCACTGTACTGGCATATCATTTAGGATTAATCCCTGAGGTTCCTGCAAATGATTTCATGTGGACAAAAAAGAAAGTCAGATCCAATAAGGAGAGTCAAATGTGTCACTGAGCTGCTTGAGAGTATAAAAAATGGCAGAAGGAAAGTCAAATGTGACATATACACAAGGTATACCATATTAGATTAGGGGGATGCCTTCTTGTTGCATTTTCACAACATGTAGTACATTTTAAGTACATTTGCATATGATGCTCCTATTGCAAATAACATTATTTGGTAATTATCAATATGTCAGTGTTAGTCCTGGGAATATGTCACCACCATGCTGTCTCACAGCAGTAAAGGTAGTCAGGAAACTGCCATGATAAATTGCTATTCATATGGGAAAAAAATTCATTTTATTGAGATTTTTATTGCCAATTGGTCAATTTGATCCCTAGGTACCAGTTACACAATGAAAGAAAAAAAAAAAGAATACCAGTTGAGTGTTAAGGAGAGCCATATATCTTCCTCTCAATTTTTTCATATGTGGAATCTGCCCTCCTACCCCAAATGGTTGGTGGTTGCATATTCTTATGACTAACCCTGACATATCAATAATTGCCAAATAATATTAATTGCAAAAGGAGCAACATATATAAATGCCCCTGAAGCTGCACATTGTGAAATTGCCTTACAGGTATGGTATACCTTGTGTATCTGTCACATTTGACCTTCCTTATGTTGAACCCTAAAATCTGACATCCACCACAGTGACATATTTGACTTGCATATTACCACATGTGACCTAGAAAACCTATACTTATATAAAGAGGGAGGAGGGTTAAAAGAACTATTAGTTCAGTGGTTGAAGCCCATGGTTGTTCATTATTTCACATTTGGTGTTACCATTTCCAGATCCCATTCATTTTCTGTCTCTGGAATTTTGTGCAAGTTGTTGGTTCCAATACTTAATGTGCTCATGGTTATAGTAGTCAAAATTTCTTATGTTTCTATGCATTCTGTTGTCAATGATAATAGCTTAAATAGACATGCATTTCATTCTTATCAAGAAAACAAGGGATTTTGTATTCATTTATGAGCCTTATTCTGATGCTGGGAAATTATCTAAGTGTCAACATGAATTATATTCAACCTTTTAGGACTATTTCTGTCAAACATGTTTGATTGTGTGGGCTGATCTGCACACATTTGTGCACCCAGAACAGAGCATTGCATTTTGAGCCTCACCTTTTTCTTTTTTTACTTTGATACTTTGTATCATACAGATGGAATATAGTAGAGATCAGGAGCAAGTGATAGAGAGTGATGGAGACCCTGAGGGAGGCTGGGTGGACACTCACCATTTTGCAACAGATGATGCTCAAGATGCTCTCTCAATTACCCAGCAGGTCACTGACATATCTCTTAATTCACAGGTGAAATCTCTTCTTTCATTCATTGGTTATGACTATCATAGTGCCATATGCCAAAAACATGAAACTTGAGTTATAATGCAGGCTGTCTCATGTCATAAAAATGTTTATTTTTTGTATATAAAGTACCACATCAACACTTATGAATGGACACAAGTGACAAGGAAAGACCTTCAATGAAAAGAATACACAGGAGAATAATGTTGAGCTTGCATTATTTGACTCTTAGGTAATTGTGAAGCAATAAACAACCAAGTTGGGTATTCATGATAACTGGTTTATAGAAGGTGTTTCAAAAGTAACTATGCACTGAAATGACATTGGTCAATGTCTCTATACTGGTAATACCTATTGGTAAAACATTTTGCACTTTACAATCTCTTGGTTCTCATATGGTTCTCAGGTTCCATGCATATCTGAATTATAGTTCTTTTTTATTTGCATTTCTTTGGGTTAACTGTTAAAATGAACACCCTGTACAGAATACTGATTGTTTTTTCTTTTCAGGTAACCTGTTAACCTCTCATATTGAAGTATTCTTTTACCTCTGATGACTTCTCTTTATGCATAAGGCTAATGATGTCTCTACTGCACAGTTACTTTTAAAACACCCTGTACTTATGCTGCATGGATTGGCCTCTACAGGTCAAATGGCGAGATTATGGAGAAACCTTAGGGCTCTTGTAATGAAATGGTAATTTCTACAGCTGTATAGGGTAAAACCACTTAAGTTCAGCCATTACTCAAGTTCACACACTGCTGCAAACATTACAAAACTAAGCATTCACGGGGCTGCCTTCAGAATCATCAAGAAACTGCAAGAAGAGAACCTTACATTTAAAACATTTCACATGTGACTTTTTTGTTTTCTTTGCTCAATTCTTACTTCCCAGGAAACTAGAAGGACATGGAGTCCTGTTACGCAGAATGCACGTGCATTTATCAGATTATTGTCTTACTTTCAGTGTGTCTTAACTTAGGTCAAGAAGAACTTAGGTCAAGAAATGTTTGAGAGACTTAAGTTCGGACATACATTCACATGTGTCATATCTGCGGAAATATGATGTCCTCTTGAGATAAAGAACATTTAGAGTTGACTAAAGCTCAATTGAGTCATGCATTTCAGAGAACATGTATTTTTTAGTTCTGTCCAAGCTTTCATTACTGGACATGTAACTTCAGACACTGTTGAAAACATGTGAAAAAATAAAAGTTCATTTATTTATTCACACATCCAAGTACGCAGCATGCCTCCAAAGAAGTGGTAGGAGGTTGGAGTGCAAGGAATTATTGATCTGAGGGTGTTGAAAAGGCCATCAGGCTTTAATTTGGATGAGATGTTCCTGAGGAAGGCCAACATTGCTTATGATGAACATGTCTGCCGGGTACATTTTCTTCTAGGAGTTGTGCCTCCAAATTCAGAGCCCTGAAGTCCCTGAAGTTGGATGTTTTTTGAATTAAGCATGCAGAGAAATACTTGTCTACTGAATAAAACAAACTGTGCCAGTCTGTTCTGCTTAAAAAATACTTTCTGACAGCATGACCCTAATGAATAATGTGCACCCAAGGGATTACCTGCAAGAATAGGATTTTTCCAGAAATTAGTGACTGGAGAGCAACCTATGTACGAAATTCCAGGTTTCTATATCCTTCTCCTCCTGATTCAATGTAGCAAAACATATTTTAAAATATGGCTCCCCCCAAATGTACCCCCAGAAGATATCTCCCAGATGCAGGATTTCTCCTAATGACTGCATTCCAACATGTACCTAATTAGTAAGATTTCAACCTTTCATCTCCATGATTCCCTGGAACAAAATAATTTTCCTGGGAAAGGTCCACCCCAGAAATATGCCCCTGGGAACAAATCCTAAAATGTATCTTTTTTCCCTTCTGAAATCTGCACCTCAAAAGGTACTGATGCACCAAGTTTCAGGTTCTATGTCTCTCCATTTCATTGGAGCAAAGAAATTTATGGAGATACATCTCTCCCAAAGACAAGTACCTGAAATTATCAGAGTTATTCGTGTAGACCTACCAAGTTCGAACTTTCAATCTCATCTAAAACATGATTAGAATTAAAGTCAGTCGCTGACTCACTCAATCATGATCATCCTATGCTAGAAAATAGTGAAAAGATCCAATACTTATTGTGGGGAGCTGGTTATCATTCATTCACATTAAAATGAAGTGCTTCAAGCCTCTTTGAGGCTTTAAAATGGGGGTGTCCAAACTAAGGTGAAAGTGTCTGAATTTAAATTTTCCCTGATCTAAGTTCAGACATCCACATTATAGGCAATATCGGTAGTTATTAGGGTAGGAAGGATGACATCTTTATAGCACTCAGACCTCCTAATGTGCTCCCAGGAGCAAAAAATGAAGCTTCCAGCTTGTACCGTTATGATGGGACGAGCGAATGATGAGGCTTGGCCAGCTTAACTGGCCAAGCATTGGTTTTACCCTATATAGGAGTATACTTGTAACTCTTACAGGAAACTTGAGAAGAGTAGGATAGCTTTTGATCAGTGTAAATATGGCTTGAGATAGAAAGTAGCTGGAGACAAATTTATGCCTAAATGAGGGGAACATTTCTCTTGCTTGATTCTTACAGAGTTGCCAGAACTGCAAGTTATTTCATTGATAATATGCAGTCTGCTATTCATGGGATGAAAATGGAAATGTAGGAGTTAAGTACAGTAGAGGTGACTAAATATGTGCAATGCATAGTTTGAGTTTGAGCAATAACATATAGTTACCCATTTTATTAACTCTAAGTCATCTCAATCTCCTGTGCAGACCAGCAAAGTCCTCAAAGTCATTCCCTGTAAGGAAAAAAAAAAAAAACTTTGAATGCAGATATACAAAACTAAGCTGGTTTCTTGATCATTTGGAAATTTATTATGATTCCTATTTTTCTCATACTCATGGGTGTGGCAAGGGGTGAAATGGAAATTAATTGATCAGGGGGAACATTAATGCAGAATTTTGTATAATTGCGTATTGTCATTAGAGACTTACAATGAACAGTTTGCAGTTTCCTAATTACGCTTTGTCCCATTTGAAGAGTTATTTTAAGGAGACACACTATTTGATTTTTCAAGTACCCAGGTATTAGATAAAGAATAGGGGATGCTTTTATGTACAAGAGCCTTGAATTTACCTAGAGACTAATTTTCAATCAGTTTTGTCTCACAAGCAAAAATGAGGCATACTGTTCAATTTTGAAACATTCAAGTGCAGAATCCAAAATTGAGGATGGGATGCATTGTGTATTAGAGACCATGAGCATTGTAGCTGAGAGCCTTGCATAGGTTGCAGGCCTATGACTCTATGAGGTTGGGTCAATAACTAAGGTGAATTTACATATTTCATGGACATGATGTATCCATTATGTACTCATTACCACATACCCTCTCTACTGCATCTCTGAACATGAAGTACTCAAAGTTTCTGTGATATAAAGTTTTCAATATTATCACAAGTCAGTTTTTAAAATGGTGGCCCCTCTTTCGGATTGCACCACTGTTGAACAATGAAGTGTCATTGGAATTGTACTATCAGAAAGAGTGCCAAGTGAAATTTACAGTAGAACTTGTGCATAATATGGGGATGGTTGTTTATCATTGAAAAATACGTACAAGTGATGTGAACTATTCAGAAACTATTTGGAAAAGATGCACAACCAGGACACAAGTTCAGGGAAGATACAGACATTCAGAATCTGTGCATAATCGGCTAAGCTCTTTACCAAAAAACTATTTTCCCTGATGGAATCAGGAAGATAGTCAGTCGCTGGAATAAATGTGTTGTGATAGGAGGTGATTAAATTGAAAAATTGTGTGTGTTCATGTTTCTGGACTAAAGTGATTTGAAGCTCTACTTAAATTCACCTTATATATTGACTCCTCCTCATATGATCCTTCCCCATGTTGGGTCCAGCAGAATTTTTTTCTTCCTATTTTATTATATTTTAAGTCTTGCCTCTATGCTAGGACTATGAGTGGTCTGCACCTAGACCTGGATCTGACTATGTATTTTATGCTTGTAATCTGTAAGTGGGAGAATGATTTAAGTCCAGAGATGGTGAATAATCTCCTGTTAATGCAAAGCTATCTGGAGTGATGAGGGGTACAAACTCTGAAGTATTCATCTCATCCTCCCCCATGACTAGACTTTTCTCTCAAATTATATATTGAAAATTTAGTGTCCAAAAAAAAATACATAAACTGTTAGTGTTAATAACCTTTATGTGTTGTTTTTATTGAACATCAATTTCATGCATTAAATGATTATGTATAGACTGAAAATGATCGCAATGTATGCCATTTAATGCATGTGTTCAAAATGCCCACCATCAAGTGTTGAAAATTTGAAACACTTCTGGGGAAAACTGACTGGCAAACATTAGCTCTAAAGTCCACTGATAGTTATTGCTCCTACAGTTTTTCAATCTATTCTGGTTTTGGAAAGTACTAAGTTAATAATTTTTTCTAGAGACTGTATGTCCAGTGGAGGAAACTATGCAAATTATGCATTTTTGGAAAGCCCTGGATGAGATCTTTCAAATGAGCTTTTATTTTTGCTGAGAAAAATTCTCATTTGGATGAAGTTGCATGGATGGATTTGTCTGAAGTTTAAACCCTTTTTTTTTCTCTCAGAGTCTTCAAAAACAGGATTTCTAATGCATGAATTTAATGCTTGGTCATTTCTCCATCCAGCTCATGCACCTCCTCCCACAAAACTTTCAAGGCAGCAAGAGCTGATTGAAACCAATTTTCATCAAAATTGCATGTACAAAAGCAGAATTTTATTTGATAAGATTTCATTAATTTTGTTCCTTACCAAAACAATCTAGAAACTTCAAAACTTTCATGAAACAAATTTTTAGAGTGTTTTCTGTGTGATAAAAAAAACTAAAAATCTAGTATTTATACAAGATAACAAACATAATTATTTTTGCCATCTCCTGGTATAATAAGCATCTATTGTGAGCACTTTCTGGGCCCATGGGAGATTTCTCCCTTGGCAAGTTAAGTGCTGATCCCTCATATCACCAATGAAATTTTGCTCATTGTCAGTTGTATAATTATTTCATGAAAATGTGCCTAATTAGAACTGTATGCAGTTGAGATCTTATATCATGACAGCACAAATTGAAAATTTTGTCACTCTCCTTTTTATATAGAAAGAGAAGGAGGATTCAAGGAATATGACACAGAAGGACAAAACAAAAGGGAACCAAAATGATGATAACAGGGGAGGAGATGCTAAGGATGATGATGATGATGATGATGAAGGTGATGCTGTGGACATGGAAGCCTTTGAGGAGAGTGGAATGCTTGAGGAAACGGATCCAGTAAGTCTCTGTGAATAAAAAAATTTCATCATTGCTGCATGTCAGGGTGTCCATATGGGCTTGTGTGCTGAATGTATAAGTTTTGATTGGTTTTTGTCTTCTGCAAGTACTGATAATCAGTAATTGAAAATTGAAGGTCACTCCAGTCCTTTCAGAGTGACTGGATTGTCTTTTTTCTCCTCCAAATATAAACAAAAGGAAAATTTGAAGAAACTTAGAGTAAATTGATGCATATGAATTAATTCATTATGAAGGTAACAATCGTGCAACAAAAGACCAGCTTAAAAATTAAATTTAATAGAAGAGATATAATTGGTTCCTGATCAAGTGATTAAAAAATCATTTAATCAGGAACCAATTTTGTAAAAAGACCATGAAAAAAAGTAGATTCATGAGAATCAATTCAGGAATTCAATTTTTGCTTACAATGCATATCCTTTCAGTTAGTCTCAAATTTTGTGTTGTCTGCTTTGATAGGCAACCCTGGATGTTTCCAACTTGAAATCGGCATTAGAGAATACAGAAGAGGCATCAGGAGACAAATTGGATTCCGAAGGTGGAGAGATTGTCCAGACTCGTTCTTATGATCTTCACATCACATATGACAATTACTACCGTACTCCCCGCCTGTGGTTGTTTGGTTATGATGAAGTAAGTTGAAAATACCACTTGTAATCACGGTTGGCAAGACATGATATAAATGAAAAAATAGGGAAATTAATATTTTAATTTGTCAGATTTTTTATTGAGCTATTTTCTTGATTTCACATTTATTGTCAATCATTTGAATGGATGCTGAAACCTTAGTAGAGGATGTGTATGCATAGAAATTGATTCCCTCACTCCCATGTATCCTGCTCCAGTTTTATAGATGATCTTTGGGTATCCCATGGGCATGATGTGAGCAAGGGTGAAAGTGAATTTCATGCTTCCCTGAGTTCACTTGGGAAAACATGGCATTTCTGCTGCCTAGAGAGCTGCAAAATCATAATTATATTAGACAGATGTGCAGAAAGCACATCTGTCTAATATAATTATGATTTTAATTATGATTGGGCAATAGTAAAAAAAAAAAAATTATTTATAGATGGGAAAAGCCAACAAGTGAAAGAAGGATGTATTCACCTGCCTATAAGTATTCACCTGCCTATAAGGAAAATGAGCATGTCTCTCCTTAAATTTTGAATTTACTCAACTTAAGTGAATCACTTCTGTACAAATACAGCTGTCATATAGTCATACAGAAGTAAAATTGTCATATGTAGAGATAAGAGTGTTAAAATGTGAATGGATGAAATGTGGAATTTGAAGTTTCAGTTCTCCACTAATAACATGATTGTCAATAATCTAGTAAAAGGTCTTGCAAAAGGAAAAATATTCAATTTTTTAAATGTTCAGGATGAGAATTTGTCATTTTTTTGGACTGAATGTGAGTTGAGGAATGTTCGACTTTGTACCAGGAAGCTGATAGTCTTAGCTGTAGTGGAAAGTTGAGGATTTTTACTTCATTCTGGAAAGTGGTAAATTCATGCTCTTCTGGAAATAGAAAAAAATTGAGATTTCACCTTATTATCAGATCATCAATGTAAAAAATTTCAAAGAATGACTCAAGATTGAAATGTTAAGTTTTAAATCACACAATTATGCTTAAAAATTCACTGATTTTGAATTATGTAAATACCCAACCATGCTTATAATTGACCCTGAAATCTCTTCACTCTTGCAATTCAGAGTCGAAAGCCTTTGTCAGTGGAGCAAATGTATGAAGACTTCAGCCAGGACCATGCAAAGAAGACAGTAACCATGGAGACACATCCCCACATCCCTGGTCCTCCAATGGCATCTGTGCACCCCTGCAAACATGCAGATGTGATGCGAAAGATCCTGGAAACTGTGGCCATGGGTGGAGGTGAACTTGGTGTTCATCAGTACCTTATCATCTTCCTCAAATTTGTTCAGGCTGTAATCCCAACTATTGAGTATGACTACACGCAAAACTTTTCCATGTGATACCTTTCTTCCTTCAAAACAATATTCCTTTTCCATCATGCCATGAGAAAATATATTCTTATTATCTAATATAGGAATCACATTTCTTGCATTCTCATTCAGCTTTTTTCCATGAGACAGATGACAAATCAGTGTCTGTTTCACCTGCTTTGTAAGAAATCTGGATCATCCAATATGGAATAAACCAATAAAATGATGATTTGACTCAGCACTCCCTCAGAATTTTTTTAATACTCAGTCCATTGGTTGAGTTTGGCCCCAGATTTATAGTTTTAGTGGAACTTGACCAATGGTCAAGTTAGCTTTTCAGAATTTCACAAAAGGTCCCATTTTCCCAAGATTCTATCAAACTCACAAGGTGCCACCTATTCATTGCCTGACTTTAATGAAACAGTGACAATCTCAATGCAACCACATGCTATTTAAATTTTTAAAATACATTTCTTCTGGAAGTATCAAAGCTTGACCTTGAATTTGATTACATCTTTGAGGAAGGGAAGAAAAAGGGCAAATATTTAGCCTAATATTACCTGAATATGACTAGGGGAGCGGCACCAGTTCTCGAACAGGGAGCCAGTTAGCGAACGAGGGTTATGAAATGTGATTTGGCCTTTTGTTACTCTAGTTTCACTCTCCATCCCAAGCATTAATTAATCAATCAATCCATTTTCTGCAGATACCAAAAGCTGGTGCTTGTAACTCGAGAAACAAAAGACCAAATCGCATTTCATGACCCTCGTTCGCTAACTGGATCCCTGTTCGAGAACTGGTGCCGCTCCCCTATATGCAATCAAGACCTCCATGAAATCAAAGATGTTGCATCCACAGCTGTGCAAAAGCTGAAACATTGCACAGAATGCTTCATAGACACTCATTGCATTCATCTGCCCATATTCTACTCAAACCACAACCATTTCCATTGTCAATTGAGGCTTCTATTCCCTTAAATCATAGTGACCCTTAGGAGTTTTCATATTCTGATGTCCTTTAAAAGAAAATATTCCCATAGAAATGCAATAAATTCAAAGCCATTCATACAATTCCCACTGACTTTGGCACCTAATGCAAGATTGTAACATTAGTACTCGAGTTACAGGGCACATGTAAATCAGAGGTTAGTGTTGGTTCTGCAATCCTGTTTATCTCTTCATAGCATTTGACCTACTGACCCAATATGGCAGAAAGTTGACATCTTGGGCTTCAGGGGCAGGAAAACTTTACCTGCCAAATTTTAGCAAAATCATAGAGGATAATGGATGGTTTTGAGTTATTTGTCAATGAGTAACTCTATATTGATGATGTGAGTGTCCCAAGGTGCATTATATGAACTTGTGAAACAACATAATGCCTAGTTGAAACCTGCAATGCTTAGGGGAGACAGGTACAGTGGGACACTGGACTTTTTATTGCCTCAAACTAGATTGAAATACATGTAAATCTACTATCACCCCTCACATCTGTACTAGTTTTGGTTTCGATCGTGCAGCTAGGGTGGAAATGGTCAGTGATATACAAATTTTCTGCCTCTTGACCAAATACCAGGTGGTGCAAAAAAAAACGCGTCGTGTTTGACGCCTTATAAAATCCGTTGTGGATGATCTAGGTTCGTGATATTTTCATATTACGTTGGAAACACCACAAATTTTTTTTCCTGAAAGTCAGAACTTAGGTTGTCTGAATAAATATTGACAGCCGCTCAAAGTGGAGTCATAGAATGGACCTTTCCGAGCACGAGGTGGATGGAGTTTCAGGATTGCTCGAATGATTTCTCTCCCTTAACGTTATGAATACCGCTTTTTACACCAGTTTTCATCGTAGTATTCTGCGTGGTATCGATTCTGATGCTACAATGTACGACAGTAGTACTATTCTACGATGTGTTGAATACTACGATGAGAACTGGCATAAAAAGCGGTATTTATACGTCAAGGTAGAGAAATCATTCGAGCGGTCCTGAAACTCCATCCTCCTCATGCGCGGAAAGATCCATTTTATGACTCCACTTTGGGTGATTGTCGATATTTATTCAGACAACTTAGGTTCATGAAACTTTCATAAAACAAATTTTGTAGTTTTTCCAACGCAATATGAAAATATCACGAACCTAGATCATTCACAACGGATTATATAAGGCGTCAAACACGAAGCTTTTTTTTTGCGCCACCCGGTATTTTGCATGTTAGAATAATCGACTCAAACCAAAAATGTGTTGCTAAAATCGCATAATTCATTTCATGGGCAGCGCTTTGGTTCTATCCTAGATTATTCATTAGTATTTTGTTGGATTGCTTGAGTGATTCTAGGTAAGGAAATATAAAGTTAAAAAAATGGTTGCTTGGGGTACAGTGGGACAGTTGGTTATGGGGGTAGACTGGAACATAACCCTGACTGCCCCACTGTACTGCATGCTGTTATATTCATTATTTTTCCTTTTTCAGGTTTTGCAAAATAAACTAGAATATAGAAAAAGAAAAAGGAGACTACTAGGCAGATCATTAATAGCAACGAACACCCCAGAAAAAACATTAATTGGGGCAGCTTCATTCAAAATCTAGAAAAAGAAGTCAATGAGCAAAGTACAATTCTTAATGTAAGTAATAAGAATAGAATTGAAAATCATTTTCTGGCATTTACTTATTGAAAGCAGGGCGTGTCCCACGGTTCCCCATCGTCTGTCCGATTGTGCCCAGGGGGAGGGGTACAGTGGGACGCTTTGACAACCTTAGAAATTTTACCATTCAGCAGAACACTCACCTTGAATGAAGAGAGCTTTGACATTTTTATAGCCAAGAATGTCTAATGGAAGGACAAGTTGGATTAACAAAATTTTTCCTACTAGATTCTTATTTTTGACCATTTCGAAAAAATTTTCCACTGTACCTCAGCCTCTCCTATTCACAAGGCTATTAGGGTAGATCAGGCTAAATAGGTCTGGATTTTTAAACTCAAGGTTGTCATGAAGTTCAAGGTCAAAGAGGCCAAACTTTGATAACTCCCAGAGGAATGTGTTTTATATGAGAATTTAAACATTTGCCTGTTTTTTCAGATTCAAATAATCTTCATTTAATTAAAATTGGACCAGAAGTGGGTAGCACCTAGTGAGTTTTACAAAATCGAGGGAAAAAGGGACATTGTGAAGTTTTGGAAGTCTATAACTTTTGAACCAGTTGTCAGGACAGACTAAATTCTGAAATCTGGTGGTTGAACCAAACGCAACTAATGAAGGATGAAAATATTATTAAGGGTTGTGATGAACCACATTGGTGGAGTTCACTGATATGTACTGATACACCTTTGAGTATTATCAAAGAGAGAGGCTCTTCATGATTTCTTCATTATGGTCATATCAGGTCATCCCATAAGTAATGCGGTTTTTTCGCATTGCCAAACTTGTGTCTTGTTTATACGTACAGTATATCTGTGCACATCTCATGGAATATTTCTATGCTAACTTGTGTAACTTGTGAACATTTGCGNTAATGCAGTAATAATTAAGCAAAGGTACCTGCAGGGCACGTAAAATCCTGGCCAATCATATCCGGGAAGAAATTATAGAGAAAAAAGTTTTTTTTTTGCACAACTTCATTAAATTCTTTCAACCTAACCTGCTTTATGAATTTAAGAAAGGGAATAACGCGACTGCAGCCACGAAAAACATTTAAGATGTTTTTGGTGAGGAAGCTCTAAATGCGAGGAAATGCCAACGGTGGTTCCAGAAATTCAGGTCTGGTGACTAGAGCTTAGCCGATGAAGCGCGTTCAGGCCGACCTGTTGAGTTCGATGATGACCTGCTGATAGCCACACTTGAAGATCATGCTAATGAGTCGATTCAAAAACGCGCTTGAAGTTCACGAGAATGCAGTGAAGCGCAAATGTTCACAAGTTACACAAGTTAGCATAGAAATATTCCATGAGATGTGCACAGATATACGTATAAACAAGACACAAGTTTGGCAATGCGAAAAAACCGCATTACTTATGGGATGACCTGATACTTACATACTTTTGCTACAGGTTCTAAATGCCTCTGGCTTATTGAAAGCAATCTATGCTACAGTGATGGGTTTGGAGGCTCTCCGTTCACAGTAATCATAACCATCATCTTTACTAATTCCAAAAATTTCCGACTTACAATTTAAGGGTGAAGATTGCTGAAATAAAACATGGTCTGCTAACAAGTCTTCACAAAGGTGAGGAGACAAGAGAACTGAATTGGAGTATAATGCCCATTCCCCTATTCATCTGCGCTGGAAATCATGAAAGCATCTGTTGTCTGACCTCTCTCACTTAGATCGCAATTTCCCAAAATACATGACAAGCAGGTTAGGTTGAAAGAATTTAATGAAGTTGTGCAAAAAAAAAACTTTTTTCTCTATAATTTCTTCCCGGATATGATTGGCCAGGATTTTACGTGCCCTGCAGGTACCTTTGCTTAATTATTACTGCATTAATTGTTTTGCCTTGCCCATCAGTCATGAGACATCCTAAGGGGCATATCAAAGAAATTCTCAGCCTTCTGCAATCATAATAAATGTACAGGGTGGCCACAAAGTCCCTTTGCATGAAATATTAATGTTTCCTTTTTTTAAATTGTGGAGTCCTCCTCGAGCCCCGCAGGGAATGACGTAATGATTACAGAGGGAAGAATCCTCCCTCCTACGCTCACGTAAGAGCCTACGTCCGACTTTTCCCCGAGCACTCCCTCGGCAATGGGTCGCCGAGAGCCATCGTAAGTGGACGCACGGACGGTGCGCGTGAAGTCTTGCCGAGCCTGCGCGCAGCTGCCGCATAGGACAGTGCGGACTATTGAGGAACCGTGCTGACGGTGGTCCCCCACCAACTAGGACGAGGACGACCCTGAGGTCCCCCAATCAGCATGAAGCTGTTCACTGTTACTAACCTCATCCACTTATCCCTGTTGTTTTATTATATATACAATGTATAATAAACTGTGCGTAGTGTCCGATTACGCACCTTTTAATACGAACCCGGAGTCCTAAGTAATTCAAAGGAGTCTACACCTTGGAGTCAGCCGATAACTAATAAACGGGTTTTCTTCTGCCGATCACGGAAGTCTCTCTTACGAACCTCTCCGAACATCGCAACCTTCCGGATATCTATCAGGAAGGGTTGCGATGTTCGGAGAGGTTCGTAAGAGAGACCTCTGTGATCGGCAGCAGGAAACCCGTCCAATAGTAATCGTTGACTCCA